TCACCAGGCAACACCGCGCACACAAAAACAAGTAGATTTGAATAAACGGGTCCTTTGGGTGTTTTGGCTTTTGAATGTTAGTCGATTGTCACCATAGAGAGATGATGTCGATGATGATGGTATTTTGGTGTAATCCTGACATTTATCGATTTACAATGTTTGTCGTCTGTTAGTTGGGGGTAGCACAAAGAGACCAGTGAATACAAAAGAGTCAATCTGCTATGAAGGTGTCCATTCACTAAATATGTATTTTTGTGTAACTAGGTATGTAGCTAGGTACATATGGGGGTATGGGGGAACGTTAACGTAATTGAACTTTATTTGATTGCTTATGTCGAGTATTGCAATAAATGTTGTGGACTATTTTGGGATTAGCATTTTATAAGTGGTATAATTTTCATGAGAGAGATGGAGAACAGCTATCAGGAATATGTTTCTAGGATTTTTTCAAGAATATTTTTTCTGGGTTTAAAAGGGCATGGATTTTATAAGGAATATTTTTTCTAGGTTTAGAAAAGGCGTGGATTTTTTAGGAATATTTTTTAAGGTTTATAAAAGGCGAGTATTTTTAAGGAATACTTTTTTCTAGGTTTATAAAAAGTGTGGATTGTTTAAAGAATCTTTTTTCTTGGCCAATAAAAGGCGTCGATTTTTATTCTTAAAAAAGCCTCAAAAATACTTACTTACTTACTTAGCTGTCTTGTGACAGAACATTCGTTCCATAAGCCGAGCTTAGAAAAGATTTCCAGGCGCGTCGGTCTTTTGCGCAGTTTTTCCATATTGGAAGACCATTTTCGGCAATGTTGTCTTCAACTTGGTCTTTTCATCGTATTCGTGGCCTCCCCTTCTGCGTGAAACATCAGCTGGTTCGCTTTTATATGTCTTCTGGGCTGGGGCATCTTCATCCATTCTCACAATAGCTGGTACAACTCATGGTTCATTCGTTGGCGATATTCACCGACAACTCAGGTCGGCCCATAGATCTTTCGGAGAATTACTCTCTCAAACACTCCAAGAGCTGCCTCATCTGCTTGCGTAAGTACCCATGCTTCAGATCCATATAACAGCACGGGTAGTGTCAGCGCACAGTGGGAAAAAATACCGATCTAGCGCGCAGAAAATCAAAAAATGAAGTTGAAGGAAACTTTATAACATTAATGCAGTTTTAAAGTAGAGTGTTGAGAGTACTTAAGTCCGTATAAAATAATCCGAAATAATAAGCTAGAACGGAATAACGGTACATTTGAAATAGAAAATTTTTCCAATGTTAAAAATGGAAATCATTCTGTGAATATATTATTATAAAATTTTGTCCATTTTTGATATATAGTATTGGTATTTAATTAAATGGTATAGTTATATAACCCATAAGTTATTTTAATTTAGGTGTTTCGGGCTAAATATATGTAAGGTCCGTTTTTTTTTTAATTCCTTCAATTAAAATAGGGGTTTAGTATGGAGTGCAGTCGAGTTCAGCTTTGATTTTTGTTTTAAAAATTAAAAATTAAAAAAAATTAAATTTTTTCCTGCGACTCTCGGATTTATGGCAATTTTTTGAAAAAATTCCAATTTGGTGTAGGAAGCTTTTTTAAGATTTTGTTCAAATATAATTAAAAATTTGTGAATTTTTTTGATATAATTCATCAAATATGACTTGGAATAGATCACAGCATAGCAGATAAGAAAAAAACAAGTTCAAGATGTCCATCCTATGGTTCCAGAGTACTGGGTGTGAGTATGAAAATGAGGGTATTTAAGTAAGCTGCTCCAAACGTTGATTTTAAACTCATGCACTGAATATACATTTATTCCAAATGTCTTTCTAAATAAAAATTGAAATTACAACGAAATCGGTTGTAAGAGTCTTCTAAAATATCGCAGGTAAAGGGTCCACTTTATGAACCCTGAAAAATATCATTGGTGTAACATTCATATATACACGGTTTTACCTACATTTATGGTTTTCGCTATAAGCACATAACACCAAAAGTAATGAATGATTACAACAAAATTTCGTCATTAACACCAAACATCAACTTATACGAATACGGCCTGTCTACCTTACATGCAAGGATTCGATATTTAGAATGTATATTGCACATTTCATAACGACTGGTTTTGAAAAAGTGGAAAATTAATAGCTCCGATCGGCCACTTTTCGAAGAAAGGAAGGCACGTATCATTAATGATTTGAAGGAAGAAATGCACATTATTGTTGACACACCTAAGTCAGTATCCGGAACAACAAACGATGGCAATACTGATAGGCGTGCTTTTAGCCAACCTGGCTTGTCATCGTCGATAACTGGTGTTGATGATTAATTAAAAATTTCAACCATGGCCTGTTGATATGCTATTAACGCAGAGTCTTTTAAAAAACTTACTGAGGAAACATTTATTCTTTTCGTGGAATTATATTCTTGGTTCTATATGCCTCAAGCATACACAAAATATTAGTGCATGGAGCTGATATAATTAAACTACAGGGAACTGTACACCAGAAAAATTAGTCGTGAGGAAACAATGAGGGATCTTTTCAATAGGTTGATATTTTCTTCTGATCCTAAAATATCAAGTTTGTCTCGTAGTGCATCTCTTAACCATCGATATAGTGAGCCACTATCTGAAGAAGTCCTTAAACTACTGGAGGATCCAATGCTACCAACTAATTCAGATCAAAACTCGGATTCTGAATGTGATTAGTATTTAATAAGTAACGCCTAAATTTTGTCAAATATATATAGTTTAATGTTTAAATATGCAATATTAACAATAATAAAGATATATATAATAACAATAGCGTTGAGCCTTAACCCACTTTTTACCCTCCAAATGTTTCGGAATTTTTAAAAGAAGCTTCCATTTTAGGAGTACTATTAGTTATAACGAAAAATATTGCTTATTATAAAATATTTCAATTGCTTCAAAATAGTAATTTTCACCTAAAAATTTAAGTTTTTCCTAAAAAAAAAATCGGCGCTTAATGGGTTAATAAAAAAAATTGCCAAATTTTTTCATAAAATAATTAAAATTGTGCATCTAAATCTATTCTTATCCAAAATATCGATAAACATACAGTAAAACATCTACTTTGATTTTCTGCGCGCTAGATCTGCATTTTTTCCCACTGTGCAGCGTCTTGTAGAGCGTGAGTTTGGTCTAGCGAGAGGTGGCCTTGCTTTTGAGTTGTTTGCTCAGACCATAGTAGCATCGGTTGGCCATCACTATCCTTCTCCGAATTTCAAAACTACTGTCATTAGTTTTATTTATGGCGGTACCAAGGTATATAAAATTTTTGACTACCTCGAAGCTGTAGTTCTCAACTTCCACAGTTGGTCCGAGTCTACTGGACGTCTTTCGCGTTGATACCATTAGCTTGGTCTTCTCGCCGTTTACTGCCAGACCCACTTTGGTCTGACTCCTTCTCAATTTGTTCAAAGGTGGCTGTTACCGCTCTCAATGTTCGACACATTATGTCGATGTCATCGGATTTTTCATTTCTGTTCACTTTTGCCTCTCGTGTGACCTTTTCCAACGAATGTTAAAAAGGTCACACGACAAACTATAACCTTGTCTGAATCCTCGTTCGGTATTAAAGGGCTCCGAGAGGTCCTTTCCGACTTTATCTGCTGATCTTGTGCCTATTAAAGTTATCCTGCATAGCCGAATTCATTTTGCAGGAATGCCAAACGCAGACATGGCTTTATGCACCTCTGAACGGATAGGGCTGTCGAATGCGGCTTTATAGTCGACGAATAGGTGGAATGTGGCGCTTTGTTTTCCGTGGTTTTTTTTCCAGGATTTGGCGCAGAGTGAAAATCTGGTCAATGGTGGATTTGCCAGGTCTGCAGCCACATTGGTATGGTCCAATAATGTCATTGACCATTGACTTCAGTCGTTTACACAGTACGCTGGATAGAACTTTATATGCGATGGGAAGGAGACTTATATATACTTTATAAGCCTAGAAAAAATATTCTTTAAGAAATACACACCTCGAAAAAAGATTCTTTAAATAAATATACGCCTATTATGAACTTCAAAAAATAATCTATTGAAAGTTACGCCTTTTTGTAAGCCCCGAAAAAATATTCTTTTGAAAATTACGCCTTTTATAAGCTTCAAAAAAATATTCTTTCCAAAAATCCACGCCTTTTATAAGCCCCGAAAAAATATTCTTTCCAAAAATCCACGCCTTTTATAAGCCTCGAAAACAATATTCTTTAAAAAAATCCAAGCCTTTTATAAGCCTCGAAAAAATATTCTTTAAAAAAATCCACGCCTTTTATAAGCCTCGAAAAAATATTCTTTAAAAAATCCACGCCTTTTATAAGCCTCGAAAAATATTCTTTAAAAAATCCACGCCTCTTATGAACCCTAGAAAAAATATTCTTTAAAAAATCCACGCCTCTTATGAGCCCTAGAAAAAATATTCTTTAAAAAATCCACGCCTCTTATGAGCCCTAGAAAGAATATTCTTTAAAAAATCCACGCCCCTCGTGGCCCTAGAAAAAATATTCTTTAAAAAATCCACGCCTCTTATGAGCCCTAGAAAAAATACTCCAGTTCTCTTATGAACATCTCTATTTACGATTTTCGTAATTGGTTCAAAAATATACCCACGCCATATAACCCATGTGGGGATATACACATTGTAATCTTTAAATGCTTTACGACGTCATTGCCAAGGCCATACAAGATTTTAGAGAACGCGATGCGACAATATTCGTATTTCCAATGAAAGTGAGGAGAATAACAAAAAATTGTCGTGAGATATTTTGAAAATGATAACCCCAGAAATGAACTTTCTGTTTTGTTGAAAAAAAAATGTTTTGAGTGAAACAATTTAGCAAAGGAAATAATTCCCATTAGTAGTGACTTGAAAGTGAACGGTAAACGGCGTGACTGACTACTGAATACGGAAATCAAAATGTTTTGGAACTCCGCATCACTTCTGTGGAGATTGGCGGCAATTTCTGTGGCATGCCTGGCAATGGCAGTGGTGGCAGTTAACGATCCATTCGATTCTCCCTTTGCCCATCAGGTAATGCGCCTCTCTAAATCCGCCGAAATGAGGAATTACATGAAACCCGGCATCGAGGCTTGTGATGATTTCTATACCTATGCCTGTGGTAATTGGGCCCATATTAATCCCGCCCATGCTGAGGTAAAGACAAATATTTTCAACATCTTATCAAAGGCCTACAATCGTAAGGTCTTGAAAATATTGGGCCGTGGCAAGGAGTCGAATGATACGGAAACGGAACGTAAAGTGAAATATTTCTATGAAAGCTGTTTGCAAAGGGATTCGATCCGACGGAATTATCGTGAAAATTTAATGAGCATTATGGAAGAATTTGGCGGTATGCCAGCCCTGAAGGGAGCTGCCTGGCATGAACCATCCTTTAATTGGTTGGAGGTTATTGCCCAAATTCTAAGGAAATATGGAAAGAAGATAATTATAAATGCCGATATTAATGCCGATTTGAATAATAACGAATTCAATCGCCTGTATATTGGACAAATGGATGATATGGTACCGGGTAGTTCGAAGGAATTTTATGCTCGCCTGGCCATGGCCTGGCAAATGGATTTGCAAAAGGTGTTGGGCCTATCACCCACTGTGGCCTTGATTACGGCCAGGGAGATGGCAGAATTTGCCCAAAAACTGGCAATGGGCATGGCTGATCCTTTGGAAGGTCTGGGCATGGAAGATAAGACCCGGCTGAGGCTATTGGAGACAATGACTGAAAATTATGGTCCTGTTTTGAATTTCACTTTGTATGTCAACACCTGGTTGGGTTACAATTATATTCTGCCTGTCTACGAATATGTGGATAATTATTTGCGGAACTTGAGATTGGTGATATTAGAAACACCCACCACCACCGTGGCCAATTATATAATGTGGCAGTTGATACAAGATTTCCGTTTAGATGTGGAAGGCAGCGATGAGAGGCAACAGAAGAAATGCATTGAGGCCACCCGGAAATATTTCCCCAAATATTTGGATAATTTAATTTATCAAGATTTATTGAAATCCGATCCGGATATAATTGAAGATGTCACCGATATTTGGAAACATTTGAAAACGTCGTTCCATGATATACTCAATGGTACCGGCACTGAGTGGATGCAGGACAACACCCGTGACAAAGCATTGGAAAAACTATCGGCAATGACTTTTGAAATCAATTCCTATAGTGATGTGGATTTTAGCAAAGAATTGGGACCCTTGGTCATCTCGAGCAATCAGTATTTTGAAAATGTCATCAGCATACTCAAGCTCCGCGGGCAGAATTATCGTTTGAAAATCGAAGAACCACCACGTTTGGAGGAGTATGAGCTGTTGAGTTTCACACCAGCCTACGCAGCGGAATACAATCGAGTCTTACTGCCAGTGGCATTTCTGCAACCCCGCTTCCTATGGGATGATGTATATCCTAAGGCCTTGAAATATGGCACAGTGGGCTTCACGATTGCCCATGAAATGGCTCACGGGTTTGATGATACCATACGTAAATATGATGCCAAGGGCAACCTCAACAATTGGTGGGATCGTAATGCCAGCATAACGTTTGAGGTACGCAAGGAATGTCTGCGGCAGCAATATGGTAGCCATAAATTTGGGGGACGTTTCCTGCCAAAGGCCCAGGCACAAGGTGAAAACATTGCCGATAATGTTGGTATTCGCATTGCCTATCAGGCCTATGATCGTTGGCTGGAACAGCATCATCAGACTCCAGAACATTTACCCAACATGGATACGATTACAGCAAGGCAATTATTTTTCATTAGCACCGCCCAGCTATGGTGTACGGATGTTAATCGACGTTGGCGTCAATTGGTCACCACCACCGATGTCCATCCTCCGGAAGAGGTGCGCGTCCGGGCTATGTTGGCTAATTTTGAAGAATTTGCTGAGACCTTCTCGTGTAAACATGGAACACAAATGAATCCGCAGCGGAAGTGTATCATTTATTGAGCTAGGTTCCACGATGTGAGATGGAGAGAGTGGGAGAGATCATAATTTTAGTTGTTGTTGTTTGTATTTTTGTTATTATGTAAATAGTTGCTACTGATAATAAAATTGATAGTTTGTATGTAAACAAATACGTCATAAATGAATGCGGAATAAATTGTTATATTTTTCTATACTTACACTTCCGACCAAGAAGGAAGTGAAACTGTGTTTGACTACTTTTTTTAATTCAGGAGTAAGAGGTGCTTATTTTTTTAAGAATATTTTTTCGAGGCTTATAAAAGGCGTGGATTTTTAAAGAAGATTTTTTCGAGGCTTATAAAAGGAGTGGATTTTTAAAGAAGATTTTTTCGAGGCTTATAAAAGGCGTGGATTTTTAAAGATGATTTTTTCGAGGCTTATAAAAGGCGTGGATTTTTAAAGAAGATTTTTTCGAGGCTTATAAAAGGCGTGGATTTTTTATAGAATATTTTTTCGAGGCTTATAAAAGGCGTGGATTTTTAAAGAAGATTTTTTCGAGGCTTATAAAAGGCGTGGATTTTTTATAGAATATTTTTTCGAGGCTTATAAAAGGCGTGGATTTTTTATAGAATATTTTTTCGAGGCTTATAAAGGCGTGGATTTTTTATAGAATATTTTTTCGAGGCTTATAAAAGGCGTGGATTTTTTATAGAATATTTTTTCGAGGCTTATAAAAGGCGTGGATTTTTAAAGAAGATTTTTTCGAGGCTTATAAAAGGCGTGGATTTTTAAAGAAGATTTTTTTCGAGGCTTATAAAAGGCGTGGATTTTTTATAGAATATTTTTTCGAGGCTTATAAAAGGCGTGGATTTTTTAAAGAATATTTTTTCGAGGCTTATAAAAGGCGTGGATTTTTTAAAGAAAATTTTTTCGAGGCTTATAAAAGGCGTGGATTTTTTAAAGAATATTTTTTCGAGGCTTATAAAAGGCGTGGATTTTTTAAAGAAGATTTTTTTCGAGGCTTATAAAAGGCGTGGATTTTTTAAACGAATATTTTTTCGAGGCTTATAAAAGGCGTGGATTTTTTAAAGAAGATTTTTTTCGAGGCTTACAAAAGGCGTGGATTTTTTAAAGAAGATTTTTTTCGAGGCTTACAAAAGAAGTGGATTTTTTAAAGAAGATTTTTTCAAGGCTTACAAAAGGCGTGGATTTTTTAAAGAAGATTTTTTCAAGGCTTACAAAAGGCGTGGATTTTTTAAAGAAGATTTTTTTAAGGCTTACAAAAGGCGTGGATTTTTTAAAGAATATTTTTTCAAGGCTTATAAAAAGGCGTGGATTTTTTAAAGAAGATTTTTTCAAGGCTTACAAAAGTCGTGGATTTTTTAAAGAAGATTTTTTCAAGGCTTACAAAAGGCGTGGATTTTTTAAAGGAGATTTTTTCAAGGCTTACAAAAGGCGTGGATTTTTTAAAGAAGATTTTTTCAAGGCTTACAAGAGGCGTGGATTTTTTAAAGAAGATTTTTTCAAGGCTTACAAAAGGCGTGGATTTTTTAAAGAATATTTTTTCAAGGCTTACAAAAGGCGTGGATTTTTTAAAGAAGATTTTTTCAAGGCTTACAAAAGGCGTGGATGTTTTTCGAGGCTTGGTGTGACTATAAATATAACAACAAATATTATTATAGCCTTACCTGAACCCCTTTTCCGAATGAAGCCAAAATGCTCATTTGCAATTTTAGCACACAACCTATTGAGCAATTAAATAACCAAAAACCACACATATTACAAAGGATCCAACAACTTTAATTTTAAATATTACATTGACCTTTAAGCAACACTTAGAGGTCATTGTGGTTGATGGTGGTGGTGGTGTCTGAGTTAACCACTAGCACCTGAGTGGTTTACCTCGATTACAGCGCACAATATGCATGCATAAAGTATGAACTTGGTCCGTAAAGGCTTCAAAGGGGAAAGAATGAAAGAACAAACGAACGAACGAGCGAATGGATGAATGAATGAGGAAAGGAAAAAAATGTTTTGTACTTTTGCAGAATAATTAGAGCGGAAATCTCAGTGAAGGCGAATGTGAACCACCTGCATTATGAGCAAACACTTTGAAGAAATGAAGTGAAAAGCCTATGCGCGGGTTGGTCGACAACGAAAGAAAGCATTTTGTTCGCAAAAAAAAAAAAAAAAACAATTTATACTCACAGCAGGCTGATCTATAATTATAGGATGATGGTGGATTGGTGATAGGGGCAAAAACGAATCAAAGAAAGGTCAATAGGAAAAATGTGGAAATGATAAACTTACCTGGCAATTTAAATACCTTACTAAGCACATTAGGAATTTGTTACAATAATTACAGTTAGTAAACGTTTAACATTACAAAATACTGCAGGCTAACATGCAGACGTCAGCGCCCCTTTGTTACCTAATTTATTTCCTTGGCAAGCCTTACTAGCCGATTAATTTATTTGTTTCCTTAACAATTTTTTTCCGCATCGACATATATTATTAAAACTTATTTAATGTGTGTGTGTAATTTTTTTAATTTCCGATTTTTTCTTTACAGGTGCTTTACCCTTCGTAGTGGCCACCACTTTTTGTTTTCCGCCCAAATGGAAATCGCTTATTATCGTCTCGTATTGCCTTCTATCACTGTGGGGTCTTTACAAGGTAAGTTCGGTTACATAATGCGTACTGAGTTTATATAACAACTAACACACTCATACGTACACAACTAATTAATTTGTCAACAATGTCATTGTTATTAATTAATAAACAATAATGACGGGGTAATTAAAACAAGTCCAAAATTGATGAATTAATTTCAACGACTGAAATTTAGACATTTATGTGTCTATTGGAAATTACATGACAGGATTATAAGAGGCGTGGATTTTTTAAAGAATATTTTTTCAACGGGTCATCATCAATAGGCGTGGATTTTTTAAAGAATATTTTTTCAACGGGTCATCATCAATAGGCGTGGATTTTTTAAAGAATATTTTTTCAACGGGTCATCATCAATAGGCGTGGATTTTTTAAAGAATACTTTTTCAACGGGTCATCATCAATTGGCGTGGATTTTTTAAAGAATATTTTTTCAACGGGTCATCATCAATAGGCGTGGATTTTTTAAAGAATATTTTTTCATATCATCAATAGGCGTGGATTTTTTAAAGAATATTTTTTCAACGGGTCATCATCAATAGGCGTGGATTTTTTAAAGAATATTTTTTCAACGGGTCATCATCAATAGGCGTGGATTTTTTAAAGAATATTTTTTCAACGGGTCATCATCAATAGGCGTGGATTTTTTAAAGAATATTTTTTCAACGGGTCATCATCAATAGGCGTGGATTTTTTAAAGAATATTTTTTCAACGGGTCATCATCAATAGGCGTGGATTTTTTAAAGAATATTTTTTCAACGGGTCATCATCAATAGGCGTGGATTTTTTAAAGAATATTTTTTCAACGGGTCATCATCAATAGGCGTGGATTTTTTAAAGAATATTTTTTCAACGGGTCATCATCAATAGGCGTGGATTTTTTAAAGAATATTTTTTCAACGGGTCATCATCAATAGGCGTGGATTTTTTAAAGAATATTTTTTCAACGGGTCATCATCAATAGGCGTGGATTTTTTAAAGAATATTTTTTCAACGGGTCATC